AATGAACAACTTCCAGTTTAAGCCCCGCCCACATAAAGTTTAAGCCACGCCCATTCTGAATACAGAACAGTTGAACAGATACAGATAATTGTGTACTCACTCATCCCTAATGGCAGCCATGACCAGAAGTTGTTCAGACATCTAATTCGACGCTTTAAGAGTGAGAATACTAACATACTGTATGTGCTCACAGTTAGAAACATAAATATACACACACTCCAACATCATAACACACTCAGAGACATATACAGTGTAATCTATTAGTAGTGTAAATATACTTGAAATAAGCATGAATACACACACATATACACACACACACTGAAGTGGGAGGGGTTTATAGCAGTGAGCAACATCTGCTCTAAGCTGAACAGGTGACATCCATCTCCAGTTACACACAGCAGACGGCTGGTAGACACACACACACACACACACACACACGCAAAGAAACACACCTTTGCATATCAATCTCTGGATGAAAACACACAATCCTCGCAAACACACAACATGACGGGCAGACACAAAAGAACTAACTACACACTTTTTTGCATCATGAGTTCTCCCAAAATGAGCAGCTGGAGTTCAGTGCCTCGCACACACTACATGGTCTGTTTTAGGGTTTGAACCTGAGACTCTTCTGTAACAGGATGGTCCTATAATGCTGCTCAGTCCATCTGACACTCATCTCATTGTTTGCATTGGAATAAAGTTGATTTTGAGCGACTAATGCTAATTCTTTCAAAGCTCTTTATACAGATTGAGTGTGAGCGTCTCGTGCTGCCTTTGTTTCCCAACTCTAAAAGCTCCCAGTCTGCCTGGACCAACAGCAACTTTATGAACACTGAACTTGAATTTAATTTCAATAGAAATAACTCGAGCATTTATTGTTAAGGTAACTTGGGTAAATTAAGTTTACTGTACTTAAAACTAGTGAGTATATTACACTAATATGCAGCATATCTCCAAAAGTTATTTAAAATTTGAAGAATTTATCTGAATTAAGATAAACCAAGTTTAAACGTATTCTTTTTAATTTTCTTCTACTAAAGCAATTATCACATTACCTGTCAAAACAGCTGACAACTAACAATTTATAATTAATTGATCATCAAAATGGAAGCCAATTCATTTTCTGTGGCTTTTAAAGTGATTCAACATCAAATCTTTACACTCATTAAGAAGCTATACAGCATTACAATGCTTATATTTGTATAATAATATCAAGTCAACTTACAGAAAATCAGTCAATGGAACAAACTAGAATTATATCACCAATAATTAAAACACAGCACACATTTAAGTTCACTTAAACAAGTGAGTTGCTTCAAAAAATCATTTTTGAGTTGGGTTTAATTCATGTGAATGAGTTTTCATTTAGGTTAACTTTTATTAAGATCTGTTGTCAGGTTTTACAGTGTGACAAAAAAAAGACTAGGAAACAAAGACTCGAGAGATAAAAGTGAGACAAGGTAAATGAAGAGAAGACAAGATAGAAAGCTAAACAAACAAGAAGAGAAGCAAAGACAAAGAGTAACAAGATAAGACAGAAAGAAGAAACAAGAAGAGATAAAATGAAGGAGGAGAAGCAAAAGATTAGAAAGAAGAGACAAACTGAAGAGAAGAGACGAAAAGAGAAACAAGAGTAAAATAAGTTAATGACAAGAGACAAAAGGAAACAATCTACAGACAAAAGAAGTAACAAAAGACACAACAGAAAAGGAGAGACAAAAAGAAGAGAGGGAACAAAAAGAGACAAGAGAATGAAAACAAAGAGGATAAAATATAAAAGAAAAGTGAGAAAAGAGAAGAAAATGATTAAAAAGTGATGTACAGGTTCAGACATCAGAACAAAGATAAGTGGTTTCCAGGTTTGTTTGTTTACAGCCATGTTAGCAGCTCTGTGCGGCAGCCATGTTTTGAGCTAAAGGCTAACAATGCTCACAATGACAATGCTAACATGTTGATGTTCAGCAGCTAAAGTTCGCCATCTTAGTTTGGCATGTTAGCATGTTAACTGCTTGCTAATTGAACAGTACAGCTGAGGCTGATGGGAATGTGATTAGTTTTGCAGGTAACTGGCGATAAACTATTGAACAAATGTGAACGTTTTTAATTTGATGATGGCGATACATAACTTGTATATTAGGAGGGGAACATGAATGAATCAAATTTCATTAAACAGTTCATTAAAAAGCGAAAATCTCAACCTCTTGGTGGCGCTAGAGTCATTAATGACCATAGTGTAAAAACCGCTTGAGCCACAAAGCACCACCTGAAGTCTGACATCAGCTCTACAAGACTCGGCTCAACATCCTCTGGCTGAGACTGTAAACTGTGCTGTGGAGGGTCATTAGCTCCAGTCACCAGCAGGTCTAACAGAGTCTCTGAGTGAGTAGGAGCCCGGAGATAAGAATGCCTTAATCTGCCAGTAAATCTTCAGGACAATACGCTGGCTCAACATGACCCTAAATCCCTCAGCGCTCACATTTACAGGCCGTCTTCTGGTAGTGACCCTCTGCTGCTCACCGGCTACACAGGAAGTCTTTGTTAAAGCTGTCAGCACAGGAGGTTAGTGGAGAGTAAATCCACCCAAACAGTTTGCTGTCTCTGTGAATCTGGCTTCTGTTAAAACTGGAGAAGAGGTGGCTGTTAGTAGTCTAAACTCACTGAAGTTCAGGCTTCCAAAGGTAGGAAATTATTCTAGATATCAAAATATAACATCAAGACACTTTGTATTAGGATCCTTCTGAGGATCCTTCAGGTGTTCTGAGTTGTCAACCATCCCTACCCTTACTGAGGAACACCAAAGGAACACTGTTTAAGAGGGTCAGATCAACACATTCCTGCTTAGTTTGAGTTAACTCAACATTACTGATGCTAAAACAAAGTTTGACTTGAACAAACATCCAACTAAACCCTGCACAGGTATTCCCTCTGGTTTTATTTATAGAGAAAAACTAGTGAAAACGATGTTGCCTGTTTATCTCAGTGTCCCCAGGTTTTATAGATTATCGGATAAACTTCAAGAGTTGATTTCCATCCAATAGTCGACTGACGTGACTGAAAGCGCTGCAGTGCTCGACACCTCTTAGCAAACTCACATCCAAAGTGCCTTTCCAAGGTGTTGCAGGAGTCGTAAACTAGCTGATAGCAGAACTGTGCTGGTTTTCTACAGGGCAGACCAGCTGTGTATGTGTGCACCACAGAAGTCACAGTATGCTAACTACAAGGTCTAGTGATAGATTTATCGGTTATTATCCGTCATTTTGAGACAATCCGCATCGACCGATGTCTGTGCTCACAAGGCCGATGAACAAAACATGTCTTCAGACACATCTACACGCAGCCTTGTCGCCCTCAGGAAGCCCCGAGGAAGAGCACAGTGGCCAGACACACTTTCCCCATAAGCTTACATTGTGGAAGAAGCAGCTGTAAAACAGTGGTGTGTGACAACCCCTGCAAAATGACGCAAGAGTAAACTGTACTCTCAGGGATGCATGCTGTAAACATATGACATAGAATAAACATAGAATATAATAGAATCATACATGACTCTTAGTTTTGTTATGGCCATTATATATCAGCCAATAGCAGACCAGCTCTCCGGCTATTGAAAAACCCATATCAGTCGAACACTGCTGCTGGTAGCTTTGTTTGTCTTCCACATGATTGCTTGAGTGTTTGAAGTCAAAGCAAAGCTTCCAAAGCAAACGATTGCCACCGTGTGAAGATACACACGTCTTGGTGCCTTAATGGCACTTCACAGTCAATCCAAAATCTGTGGAGTTTAACACCTTACAGAGGATAAATCACAGCTAACCACGGCCAAATGTTTCATGTCAATCTAACCTCAAAACTGCTCAAGTGGTTAATTCATGTTAATGCTTAAAAACCAACCCAAAACATACATAAATGGCACAGTAACCCGTGTTCCATATGTCCTTGACCCCGTCTCCATCCGTTGTTTTGGCAACACATGGATCAAAGAGGTAGAACCAGATGGGGTTTAGGGGATTTGCCGCATCTTGAGCTGATCCCAAATTATGAGTGAACCTCTTTGAGCCGTTGCTCTCTCGGAGGTTCAGGACAGTGTCAGAAGAGGTAGTGGAAAGACGGGAATAGCCCTTGACAGGAGAGTGAAGGGTTAACTCTGCCTGGTGTTTGTGTTTCTGTGGGACAGTCAGGTCCTTAGGCATTTTCTGCCAAGTAAGCAGTCTGAGAAAAACTAATTTGTGGACTAAAAGTGCATCTTTGTTACATCACCACATCTGAAGGAGTGTAAATGTCCCGTAAATTAGATCAATAATGAAATAAAAAGCATGGAGCCTAATATTGCGACTATAATCAGTTTAAAAAGACAAACAGAATACAAAAGCTCTATAGAAACACCTCAGTTTCTCCACTTCCAAAAAAATGTTTCTAAGCTGAACCGGATCTCTGCGGAGAGTTTGCTTTTGATCCAAAGTCTTGAAGAACTGTAGTTTTGGAAGCCTCGACGGCAGGAAAATAAGACATAGCGACCCATTCAAACAAGTCCACGAAAAAATTAGCGAATTAGTTCTTTGTAATTGGTCTTTGTCACGTGACGGGTTGTTTTTCTGCTTCTGCTTTCTTCACTTCGTGGACTTTATGTCTTACTTCTTCTTTTTAGACTCATCAAGAGGTCACGCAACCGGTGTTCAGTAACAATAAAATAAGTTCCTTTCCCAAATAGTAATCCTAATTTACGAGCAACAAAGTGCATTCTTGGAAGCTGAATGATGAGTTACAGCCTGGAGCCTCATGTCTGACCATCGCTCAGCACCAGAAATCCCACTCCAATACTTCCATCAGAAAGTCCTGCAACAGGAGCAGGGGCCCGGAGACAAGAAGGACACCATGGCCCAGGAAACCGTAAACCAAGATCCTGAAGTCAAAACGCAGGAAAAGCTCCCAAGTTTGTGTAAACATTCTTTGAAAAGGTTGAAAATGGCTGAAAGAGGAGAGATGGGATTTAACCTTACCTGGCCATAGTCTGTGGCAAAGACAACAACACCTCCAGAGCACGAGGACACGGTGCTGGGAAGATACTGCTCATCCTCCCGTAACCACACCCGGTCACCCTGCAGGAAAAGAAAGACAGATATATTAGTTTTACTTGTTAGATATTGGAGTTAACGCCTTACCGAAGAAATATCACTACAACTTCAAAGCAGGCATAAAAAGCATCTCCAGATAATCGAAGATGGGTGGTTCACCACAAAAGGCAGTTAAAATAATCACCAAAATTGCTTGCAAAACAAGAAGAAACCGGAAGAACAGGGCTTCCATCACTACTGTTTTCCTTCTGTTCATAGAAACATCTCTGAAGTACACACATTCTCTACTCAAGTAGAAATAAAGTTCAAAAATATTCAAGTACAGCTCCCTGAAAAAACTACTTCAGTATTGTATTTTGTTCATTTCCACGATATTATTTTGTAATTTCAGGAAAATGGGATTTTGAGGTCATATAATGTTTCACCTTGTACTTTGCTAATGGCAGAAGAAGCTGTATTAGCCTCCATCTGCTGTCACCATGGCATTACCATGGCATTGACCTTTCTCTGGCCAATAGGAGGGTCTCAGCTGTCCTGGAAACTGTGCAGTGTTGGGTTTCAGAAATCTGTACCTGCATCCAGGCTGCGGTCTCCCAGGAGGCCAGTAAAGCTGCATGTTTATGGATGCTCTTTAGTGACTGAAAGCAGAGTCAGAAAACACTTTTATACCTGTTGACCTGTCGAGTTTACTGCTCCTGGTTGCTACAGTGTTTCGCCCCCAGCCAGCAGCTGGATATGTAATCACTGGAGTTTCCCCTCTCTGCTGTGTTTGTGGAGAATTAGCAGAGAATTTGGGGAATTTAGGGAGAAAGTCTGAGTCTTAACTGTATGTTTGGAGGTTTGGTATCTTCATATTTCTTGGCTTTGGATGTGACTACAGTACCAAAATAGTGGGTACAGATTTTAGAAAAGATTTGTTTCTGCCAACGTGGATTGTGATACAGAACATGGACCATCCCTGCAGTTTCTATAGTCTCTTTATGATTATTGAAGATTATATTTAAGTTTAAAATCAGATAAGTTAATTTAACTCAAAAAATGCTGGACCTGATTACATAAAATGTTTTAAGTAAAACTAACT